ACATAGAGAATTTACTTTTTTGCATAGGCATGCATGTCTTTATACAAATTGAATAATTTCCTGTGATTTGTATCCAAACTATGCATTCTATGTATAGTTATACATTCTTGTGGGGGGGGGGGGGACTATATTCGGTTCCTTTTTTTTTGATCCCAACAAGAATTTACCAGTTGAATCTGTTGAATAATTGATAAATCCAAATTGTTTCAATGGGTTTACTCTAGTTAAAAATATCAATAGGATTTAGGCCTACATATAGTTTGTCTACATGTGTTCTCTTATCTAGAAATCAATATTTTTGCACAAATATTGATTTTTGCATTATTATATTTTTACACAAAATACGTGTTTTCTGCCAATAAGATATTTTCCGTCCAGGAAAACCATGTCTATTTTTGCCCAAAATTATTTTTCCCAATTAAATCCAGAAGTTTAAAGAGTCCTGTCTCATTTTCCTCAGCAGGAACAAGTGACTACGGTAGTCACATCGCTAATAATAAACAAGATTTCCTGTCAAGACTAAAAAATAGAGATACAAAAAAATCAAGCTGGAAAAAACGCCGGCCAGTCTGCTAAGTGATATCAGAATTGATCTGACACTACATTTTAGCAATATATGGTTGATTGCAACTCAGAATCAATGAGAGCAACCTGGTGACAGATAAAGCAATATGAATCATATTAGAACTGACTTTCCAAATCTGTGCGCAAATGCAATTTTGCTTTAAAACAATGATAGTGGGCATTCTGAAATTGTTCATCCATCTTCTGTCAATTTGGGTTTCCTCATTCATCTCACCTTCCTTATGTGTGTGAGCTGGGGGAGGGAGACAAGTTACATACATTAATTCATGCCTGTTTCTAAGTGGCAGAAAGTAAGGAAATAATGCAAAGTGACAAAGAACAGTGGTCCTACCCATTCTGAGCCAAACGATCCCTGTGGTTCCATAGGGCTAGCCCTAACTCCCAGTGTTCCCATAATTCATCCCTGTTGGAATTCAACCCTACTGCCCAAGTCTCAAGTCCTCAATGAGGAACAGTTTAGTTAGTTTAGTATAGCCTAAGGGTTTCCCTTCCCCCAAGTCTCCTGAATGACAGTTGGGAATATATCATTTTATTCTCTTGTCTCTGTTTCTGCTCTCATTCTGATTAGTTATTTAAAATGGATACCTTTCTACAGCAAGCTTTTTGAATCTGACTTCTGCTTCTTACACTTTAGTATGGAGAGTATGTGCTGTGTGCTTTGAGATCTCTCTCTGCTTGTGTGTCAGGAGAGATGTAGTGACTGAGTTTTTCCCTCTCTTTGAAACCTTAGAAGAGATGGGCGTTAGAGTAGCTCACACTCAGATCTTTACCACGAGGAAATGCAGTTAGTTCTTTATTATTGTAAATAAACATTTTTGTGATTTTAAAGATTGGACTCTGCATGCTTACCTCTTAATTCTTACAGTCACGCTTCACATGTTGTGAGGTGATACTCAACTTTAAGTATCCTGTTTGTTTTTGGATGCTCTGCTATATTTTAAGGTAGTTTCCCCTAACAATCCCTTTATCTCATAAACCATGGTGGTGGTGGTGCAACAGATTAAACCCTTGTGCTGGCTGAACTGCTGACCTGATGTTCAGTGGTTCAAATCTATGAGACAGGGTAAGCTCCTGCCTGTCAGCTCCAGCTTCCCATGTGGGGACATGAGAGAAGCCTCCAACAGGATGGTAAAATATCCAGGCGTTCTCTGGGCAAAGACCTGGCAGATGTCCAATTCTCTAACACCAGAAGTGACTTGTAGTTTCTCAAGTAACTTCTGACACGAAAAAACCCGTTATCTCACTCTAAGAGTCATACTGCATTTTATAACTAATTTCACTAGTACAAAAAGTTTTATTTTGTTACATTCCAATTCAAATTATTCTTTATTATCCCTCATTCATTATTTATGCCTACTATAGGAATAGTCCTACTGTTAGGCAAAGTGAGATGATAATCTGAGAAGCAGATTTGGGGAGTCATGAAAGAACAAATAAATTGTTCGTTATTCAATTTATTTTTATTGTGGTTGTACTGCCACAGAATGAGAGATGTGTATGTGAGATTTTCAGTTTTACATGCCCAAAACAACTGGGCTTGGGTTGGGTAATCTTGACCTTGACATCGACAGGCAGGTAGTCTCAATGCTCAATCTCAAGTAGCAATTTTTTTTAACTAGCCCTGGTTATTAGGATTGCAAAATGGATTCCTGAGGGTGGTTCTCATGGGCATTTCAGCAGCACAATACCACTTGATTTTCTAGGCGTTGTCTCCTACTTTTTATGTTCTCTGGGAGGCTGTGAACAAAATCTACCAAAGAGAAAATCATCAATCAACTTTTCTTCTGTCATGGAGAGAGGCAACAGAATTCCTCTTGTCAGGGGATTGCTGATTCTTTTTCAACTATCTTTTCACTTATGAACATTATTGCCAATGTTAGAGTGGGACCAAATTAAATGTGAGGTTAATTGTGTGACTTCTATTAATTTAACATTTCCAAATTTAAATGAACAGCCAAGGGAAGAGAATCAGAAGTGGGAACACAGCATTGAAAAGGTTTAACTCTTTATCTCTTGACATGCTGCTGCAGTCCCAACTTCGAACAATTTATTTCATTCTATGTTGTTAGTTCACACAAGTAGACCTATTAAAGCAATGGAATTTACCTACGTGTTGACTCACCATTCAACAACTGATTGAATGGATCTACTCTAGCTGGTACGGGAATGACAGCTTGAGGTAGTAGGGCTGGCACCCCATCCCAAGGCATGGTGCATTGCATATAAATCAGGATATAATGAATGTCAAGAGGGCAATTTTCAGCATTTCTTGATCCCCCATGAGCTACACCAGACATAAGCAAACTTTGGCCCTCCAAGTGTTTTGAACTCCCACAATTTCTAACAGCTGGTGGTCTGTTAGGAATTGTGGGAGTTGAAATCCAAAACACCTGGAGGGTATTTGCCCATGCCTGAGCTGCACCAACACCGATTTTTGCTGACCCCAAACTTTTAGCAATCTTTTTCAAAACCAATGTATATGAAATTGACACAGATTAGAAATAGATTGCTCTATCCTTAAGTGGTATCTAATAAAATGGCCTTGGGGTGAGCTAGTAGATACTTATTGAGATCCCATTTTAACCACTGGGAAGGACATTTTGCCAGATCGGACAGGCAACCACACTGGGGGATTTTTTTCTCCCCCTGCTTAATATACCTTTGGCCATTTGCTTAAGTAATCCGTTCAAGTAATCTTGGAAATTATATTTTAAAATGTAGCAACCAAAACAAACAAACACCTTTTCCAAATATCAGTGATTACTGGCAAAATGCAGTCTGGATTATGAGGATAGATTGGTGCAAATAATTCATACTGAGTTTTGCTTGCCCTTTAAGCAAAGAGTTGCCATCCTAGGGTCCATCCAGACAGTACCTTTATTGTGGTATCTACCACAATAAAGGAAGGGGCTGTCCAGACAACGTTCTGGACAGCTGTGAATTAATTTGCCACAAACCCTGGTTTGTGATGAATTGATGAGATAGTGGATTTATTCTGCACATTCTTGGAAGGTGTGGGATAAACCCCTACTTCCAGTGTCTGGACTACAGTCCAGACACCATTTCCACAGTTTACCGGACTAAATAAGCCCTGTAAACTGTGGGAATACCCACCCCCTCCCCCGAAGCCCCCAGAGCCCTTTGAAAAGCACTGAAAACTTACCCGGCCTCCATTACAGGCTTGGAGCAGCCAAGAGAGCAGGGGATGGGGGGATGGAAGGGAGAGGAAAATCGCTCCTCCTTCATTCTCCTGGTACATCATTTCTATGCGCCGGGAGAGCGGCTCCAAACTTGTAATGGAGGCCGGGTAAATTTTCATTATTTTTCAAAGGAGTCTGGGGGCTTCGGGGGAAGGGGTAGGGCCTCCAGATGTTCTCCCGGGCTATTCTCAGGAGAACATCTGGACACCCACCCCAGAAAGTGTGCACTTTCTGGGGTGTGTGTGAACAGGACCCCAGGAAAATCCGTGTTTTTTAAACACGGATTCTCCTGGCATAATGGCCTGTGGGGAATTGTCCCTAGTTGATTTTGTAGATCCATTATTCTGTGGGCAAATCCACACAACTATCATCTTTCTCTTCAGTGAACCATGGGATCCTGGTAGTGGTCATCCAAAACTAATTTTTCCAACTCTCTCCATGATCCTATGCTTCCTAACAAATGTATATGAACTGAAAGATATTCTTAACTTTGCTCAACACAACACTGAAGCCAGTGAAGTTCTTTGTTTCCAAGACTTTTCCAGGGAGCATTTTGGAGAAACCCCAAATACCAACTTTTAGAACTTCTTTCCATTTCCAGGAATTATTAAGAAGGCTGTCAAGCTGCAACTAACACCAGAACAGAGATCCTAAATTCGAAGAGGGGGGAAAAAAACACAAAAAGATTGAGGCCCTGTTTGAACCTTATGACATTTCCAAGTTTAGGAGGCATGCACTTGGAAACTAGCACTTAGAAACTAGCAGGGCTCTGCCATAGGGCATGCATTGCAATCAAGAAAAAAACAACAAACCCTTTTTTAATAAGTGCAAACAAAATTTAAACGAGAAAAAGTGAAATAGTCCCAAATAACGTGACCAACAGACTAGATTTCATCCCAGTCCAATTTTCCCCAGCATTCACTGGTGGAGGGCCAGAATCCCTTATATACCCTCATAGAAGAGCCACAGACAGTTAGTGCTCCCTGGATCCCATGTTGTGTCAGTACAACGCACGCTACTTTGTGTCAGATGGGTGATGTGGGAAAGAGCGAAAGAGCCGTTAGTTGGTTAATGTAAAGGGAGAAAAAGAAATAGGAGTTAACAAAGGCTGCAGGAAAGGAAGACGAATCCTGTTAGAGGTGCAGTGGTGAGTAACCAGTCGGAGGGGAAGAAGAGAAGGAGGGGTTTGCGACTTGTCCGAACAACGGCTGTTACCTTCCATCCTTCTGCTGCTATGGTGGCCCCATTGGACCACATGTCTGCATCTGGCACAAGCTGGTCACAACGGAATTTAGGAATAAATGAAGAGCTTCTTTGAAATACCTGAGGAAGTCAGAACATTGAAGGTGGTTGTTTTTTTTTTGGGGGGGGTATACAAAAAAATCAAAATAATGTGGGTTACTATTTCTGGCTCAACGAACAATTAAGTCGCGGATCAAAAGGGCAGTGTACAAAAGAAAAACAAAGTCAACTTCAGAACAAAGAATTTGACCACAGTCTTAATTTTAGAAATGACCTATGGTTTGCAATATTGTCAGTGGCTGAAAACTTAAGACCTGTAACGAAATGATGGGGACGAGAGACAGGGCCTTCTCAGTGGTGGCCCCCTCGGCTATGGAACACCCTCCACAGGGATATAAGAGTCTCTCCCTTCTAACATTCCACAAAATGGTTAAGACCTGGCTCTTTGAGCAAGCTTTTTCTACTGGAGCATTATTTGATGTAAACGAATATATGGAATGACTGATGCTGCAACTGGACAACGATTTTAGTAAAGAGACGTCGAGGATCTTGTTTTTTACAGATATATTTGCTTTTTATATTACATTTTAAATGTTTAATTGTTTTAACTGTATTTTGATATTTGCTATGGATCAAATAGCTGCCGACTGTGAACCGCCTTGAATCGTCTCTGGCTGAGAAAGGCGATATACAAATGCAGTAAATAACAAATAAATAAATAAACTGTACTTCTGATATCTAAAGTGTATTGCTCTGTGCAAATAACTGATAACAGGAATAAATACAAAGAGGCAAACAGTTAATAAGCCACAGCAAACAACTTAGAACTTGGAAGTTGGTGAATAAATACTTTCAAACATCAGCTTTGTGGTCTGTAGCTGAAATCCTCCTACAACAAAACATAAATTTATCAAATAACTACCTCGCTGTACCTTCTCTTGACTATTTATTTATTCATTTGTTTATTTACTTTATTTATATCCTGTCCTTCTCAACCCTGAAGGGGATTCAGGGTGGCTTACAACAAAGACACAATTTGATGCCACTTTTAACATAAAACAAAACAAAACATATATACTAAAATACATAATCTTAAAAAATAGTTATAGTAAAAACCACACAGTCCAAAAGCATATTCTAAGAGATGTTTCATAAACTGCACTATTCCATAGTCACTTGTTTTACTCAAAAGCTACAGTGGTGCAGCTTTACAAGACAAAGTAATGACATTTATTTTAGTTTCCCTCCACACAGTCTACTATAATTTTGCTTTCCAGTTTCAGTCCTCTACCCAAGTATGAATCAGGATCATCCCTGTTTCTGGAATCAGACAAGTGTTTGGTGTATTCAGGCGTGGTATGGTCACTGCTACTAGTAACCTTTGCCATAACTTGTATTTCAAGTAGGAAGGTTTAAAGTTCAGGTCTTAAAATTATTTTTGAAAGATCAGAATTGTTTTCATCACCTCCTCCTACAGCATAAACTGAACAAGTATCTGTGCTGGGTGTGTGTAATTCCCAGCATCCCCATCAGGAGGCAGCATTTATCTGCAAACTGCTCCTCAACTCTCACTTTGGTTACCTTTTCAAGGTGACTCCTATTATACAATTTTATCTGCATTTTATAATAGTAATTCCTAACTCCACAAATTCCTAAAAGCTGCATTGCTGGTGCATGTTCTGGAACGTATTCTATTTCCTTGACTCTCCAGAGGATTTACGGGTTTGAAATTTGTTTGATAAAGCAATGTAGGTTTAATCGAGTTTTAATGTATCACAAGGTTAGGAAAAAATGTAAATACTGAAGTGTAAGTATTGGGTAAGTTTCAATTCTGAAATATTTGTTGTGGGCCACGCAAATGCTTCGAATATGGCTTCTGACTTACAAAAATTCCAATTTTCTTCCGATTTCCGAAACTTCTGATTTTTTGGCACAAGCCTAGTACCTACGATGGCTGATAAGGCTCTTTCATATATATCAAAATAATACACTGTGGGTGTATTGGCCTTTTTGAATGTCAATTGACATTCTGTCATTTATGACTTGTAGCTTATAGTGGCATGATAAATCTATTCTGGTATTTAATTTGAACTTTAACGAAGGTGGACCTTTGGTCATAGGATTCTGTTCTTTGGACAGCTCTTAAAACCATTCTGAGTTTCAGCCTGGACTTCCATTGACATGAAGTTTTAATCTGGACTCCCATTGACATGGAAATCACCAACTGCCCCTTGATAGTGTAATGTAAACATCCATCTGGTTGAGATGGTGTATATACAGTCAGAATGGTGTATATACAACCAGAATTAAAACTTATACATGGAATTGTAAAGATTTTGTAAACATATTTAAATTATAAAAGGTAAAGATTTTCAAATGGCAACGAATTTGTGTGATTATCAAAGAACAAGTACACATGATTAGCTTCATAACTTTTTAAAAAGATGGTATAAAAGCTATTTATAATTAAGTGTAATTTAAAATGCAGAATCACTTCCTAAGATGTTTTTCATATTTTGGGAGTCAAATCCATGCAATCCATGAAAAGAGAACTGTTGTGCTAGGGCACTGGTAAATATTTGAATAGCTGCCCATGTTTCCCATTATTTCTAAAATTCTCAACGGAATTATACTAGAGATTAAACTTAAAGGTTACAATTATAAGAAGAGAGGAAAAAGGAACAAATAAGTTTTGGTTCCAACCTCACAGTAGGCTTATAACTGTAAAGAAAAGCTAAGTTAACCTTTATATGCCTTTATATGCCAGATCTCTAGATATTTTCATATATATATATATATATATATATATTCCTAGGGAAATACATGAAAATATATCTGGCACAAGTCATAAGCAAAGTCAAGACAACTAGGATTTCATGGATATACGGCAGTCCTGTAACAAAGTGGATTTAATATACCAGAGAAAGATTGTTAGAAAGGTCCAAGCTGTAAGGTATTACAATATATCATGAAACTCCTTATTAATTCTCCTGGGTTACCTTGAAACCATATATAACACTCTTGTATATTTTGATAACAGCAATATATATTTTCTCAAAAATGTATTGGAAAAAGAAATTGTGCTACAAGATAGAATTGGCTCCGTGGAGTCTGGTGAGCCATATTATGAGCAAGTTGACCTTTTAGGAACACAGGAAGGCAAAACGAGAGAAGACAGTCTACTTGATGAATGGTGGTGGCTTACTATACATTGACATATAACAGGACCAACAGAAATATCTGACACAAAGTCCTGTCACTGTGGTTATTCTACTATTAGGGACATTTAGTTAAAATACTTGAAAAGTTGTTCTCTTCTGTATTTGGTGGGGGAAACAAATGTTTGAAAGATGGCAAAGTGACTTTTTACAAAGAAGCTGGTGAAGATAGCTGGTGAAGATGCACATTCTCTACTTATTCTCACTTCCAAATCTGTCCTTTTTCAAAAGTAGTAAAGGCACAGATCTCAGGATGCATCCACACAGCATCTATAGTGCGCACCCTCCCACGTTTTTCCCTGGAGTGTCCAGAGAACGCTTCAGGGAAAAAACGAATGCTTTCGGCACAAAGCAGGAAAACCCAGCTTTGTGCCGAGGTAATTTGTCTTCTGGAAAGACCTGGGGCTATGTAGATTGTGCCGCGTGATTTCCAGTGCCCACCTACTCAAACCCAGGACAGCCCCCATCCCCTCCCAAATCCTTTAAAAAGCCTTTAAAAAAGGAAAATAACTCACCCGGCCACCAGTTTTGCCTCTCCGGAGTTCTCCTGGGTCGTACCGATGACACACCAAGAGTCCAGGAGCAATTTACCTTCTCCCCCTTCTCTTGGCATGCCATTGGTACAACTCGGAGAAGGGAAAATGGCTGCTGGGTGAGTTATTTTCCTTTTTAAAAGTTTTTTAAAAGGGACTTTCTTTTGTGTCCCGGTGCATGGCTTGAAAACCCAGCAGGGCATGTGGCCACCCCTCCTCCCCATAGAAAAGCATGCACTTTCTGGGTGTGTGTGGACTAGAACCCGGGAACAACTGCATTTTTAAGATGCAATTGCTCCCAGGTTAAAGGGCTGTGTGGAACCGCCCTCAGTAGCAACAGACGCACATACAGTGTTCCCTCGCTACTTTGAAGTTCACTTACCGCGGACTCACTGTTTCACAGTTTATTAAGCACATATATTTAAGTAATAAGGGAACCTGTATGCTGCGGTGACCTGGGCCTCTTGCTGCTGCTTGGGCACTGCGCTGCCTCTTCCGCCTCCTCATTCACGGCAGCAAGAGGCCCTGGTGCCGAAGAGGAGGAGGAAGGTAAAGAGGGCAAGGGGGCAGCTTTTCCTCCCTCCTCACCCTCTTTACCTTTCCCCTCATGGTTGCCGCCGGGCAGGGCCATAGCCAGAAAAATTTTTTGGGGAGGGTTGAAAATTTGGGGGGGGGGTTGAAAATTTCGAGGGTTGAAATTTTGGGGGGTGGGGTTGAAACCTGCCTCCTAGCTCACGCTGAAGCAAAGAGCACAGCAGGGGCAGAGCAGCCTTCCATAGCCTACAGCTCCACCCCTGTCAACCACCTCCACCAAGTCTGGCCTCCTTAATGAGAGCATTCAACACACACACACAACTTGGTTGCTTCACTACATCGGTTATTGCTGCAAGTAATGACAGTGTGAATAAATTGTCAATATTTGCTTGAGATAGTGCTTGCAGTTCTGGAGGGACTCTTAGTTTTTTGCATCTCATAGACTTAGCATGGGATTTGGTTAACCAGTTAAAATTCATGAGTAAACCAGGTTTTTTTAAAAAAATCTGAAACATTTCGGGGGGGTTTGAACCCCTAAAACCACCCCCTCGCTACAGGCCTGCCGCCAAGGCTTGTTGCTACTGCTTGGCAGCAAGAGGTCCCAGCGGCAACCAGGAGGAGGAAGGTAAAGAGGGTGAGGAGGTGGCTCTTCCTTCCTCCTTGCCCTCTTTACCTTCCTCTTCCACCTTGTGGTTGCCGCCGGGGCCTCTTGGCGCTGCTTGGGCCCCGCAACACCTCCGCTGCCTCCTTAATCACAAGGCCCAAGCAGCAGCAAGAGGACCCGGTGGCAATGAGGAGAAGGAAGATGAAGGTAAAGAGGGTGAGGAGGGAAGGGGAGGGAGTGTCCCTACTTCATGGTTTTTTATTTTTCATAGGTGGTTCTGGAACGTAACCCCCGCGATAAGTGAGGGAACAGTGTATTGATATACAACATGTATCTAACTCCCAATTGTTCAGTTTTATTGACTGGTGACCGAAGGATGTGGAGATCCAATGGCCTGACACAGATTAGTAGATAAATAATTCATTAAAAATTAAAATGTCAGTGATCAGTTAGCTTTTCAAGCAGAGAATCTGATAAATTTGATCCATAAATACTTTGGAGGGCCAAAATTTGACCCACAAAACATTCAGTGCTGGCTGAATGCACAGGAGCATAAGATATCTTTAATGTACAAAAATATTGCTGATATTTAGCCCAACATAATTTATATAAAGAATCTCCATCTAGGGGTTTCACTGAGGTATTTGTTCAAGTTATAAAATCTACTCATCACAAAATTTAGAAGTTGTTAATTTTACAAGACTGCGTTTCCCAAGTTTGGTGAGAAGGGCAATGTGAGCACTGTAAAAATCATTGACTTGTATGGAAATGACCATGTTATAGCCATACCTGCAACTTCCCAATAATATATCTTGCAGCCAAAGTTTTGAAGACTGTTTGCAAACCACAGTTCAAAAACACCTTCTTTCACTTTCTCCTCCTACCTCAAGTTCAGCAATGATCCTGTCTTCATCATCATCATCTTTGATGGCAGAAGCAATGATGGGGGGTGTTGAGGCAGGCCTGGCAACCTCTGACACAGTCCTCCTCAGTTTGACCTGTGGCTTCTGAGTCTCCAGCTCTTCTGATTCAGCTTTCTGGAATTAAAAACCAGGGAGAGGTGAATGGGAAGGAGGCAGGAACTGGGTTGTGAATGTGGGGAACGGGAGAGAGGCAGGGGACAAAGTTAGTCCAGTGGCTGTCTTTGGCCTGACACTAGCCCACTCTTAGTGTTACCAAGTTTGCAAAACAGCAATAAGGAACGCTGGAAATTCATGACAAATGGTTGACAATCAGAAAGTAGCTATTAACAAGTCTGTATTCATTCTATTTATGAAATGAAATAAATTATTTCAGTTCACGTAGATATGCATTTTCCTGTGAAACCAGCCTATAGTCTACATTCATAAATCACATAGTCCATATATTCTTGTATTTTGGGGTTTTTGGGCATCTCATTCAGTCTATACAAAAGGAAAGCTTTCTAATCCTCAAATAGGGACCATTCTTTATAACAGTGGTTCCCAACCTTTGGTCCTCCAGGCATTTTGGACTTCAGCTCCCACAATTCCTAAGTTTGTAAGCTGCCTGGGATTTCTGGGAGTTGAAGTGCAAAACAACTGGAGGATCAAAGGTTGGGAAACCACTGCTTTGTAATAACCCAGCCCTACAAGGGACAATCTTTCTTCCCTCAAATAACATAATGGTCACTTTTTCATGGGGAGAATAGCCATACCTTCATGAAACTGGACTCTTTTTTACTGGTGACAATCACCTCTCCAGTGCGGGTGGTGGTGAGACCATGGGAGGATGGGAAGCTTCGCCGGGGAGGAGGTGGAGGTGGGGACTTGGAAGGCTTCTCAGTTCTGTATCTGGGTACTGTCAACTCATCTATAGGGAAATGATAAAGTCAGTGTTAAGAGTCAGGCATTTCATTCACTGTGCTCTCAGGCTGTGTCTACATTTAGAAAAAAACACACACATACATTCACCCTGAACATGACATTAGCAGTTATCACAACACACAGCAACTTCTGGTAATTATCTGAAGTTTTCAGCATTTAACCCAAATTTGCTCCACATTCAACAAAGTTGTGGATATTCTAGAGTTTGAAGGAACATCTAGGGTATCCTCAGGCTTTTCAGCTGTTTGGACCTTTGAACTGGATCCCATTGTTGCATGGACACCACTACAAACATCATCATCCAGTGCAGGGAAGGGAGTGGGCCATTTGCATGTTGCCGCTGTTGCTCTTCACCAGTCACAGAGCTCACTTCAAGCACCTTAGCCACTGTGGTTGTGTCAACTGAGACCATAAGATCGTCTGGCGAGGCCCTGCTCTCGGCTCCGTTAGTCTTGCAAATTCGTTTGGCGGGGATGAGAGACAGGGCCTTCTCGGCAGAGGCCTGTGCAACTCACTTCCCAGCAAGATCAGGTCGGCTTCTTCCCTCCTGTCTTTCAGGAAGAAACTAAAATCATGGTACTGGGACCAGGCCTTTGGTCAACATAGCAGCACTTTGGTTATGGAATTAAATTGGTATGGCATTATGGCTATGACAAAATGCTTTTAACTGCTTGCAACTTAACGATTTATCTATTGTTTTAAACTATTGTTATATTGTTGTTTGCTTGTATGTATGGCATCGAATTGTTGCCAAGTGTAAGCCATCCTGAATCCCCCTTCCAGGATTGAGAAGGACGGGGTAAAAATAAATAAAATAAATAAGTAACGGGGCATCCAAGCAATCAGCAAGCAGGAGTTACTTTACTGTCTCCTTGCTGATCATGCGAGGAGACAGTAAAGTATCCTGTTCTGCCTTCAGCAGATACAACTATGCAGTCTGGCATTTGCCAGGGAACATGGTGACTGGCAAAGAGCAGTAGCAGTGAGACAGGGAAACATGGAGGACAAGGAGATAGGTCTGTGGGGCCAATGCAGATATGACATCACTGAGGATTTGTCCCAGGGCTTATAACTATACCATCACAGTTGATCTGGGGCCACTATGGAGCAATCAGCAATAAACCCAAACTTGTTCATGCAGATAACAATAATGTCCACACATTAGCATTTCTTCCTTCAATTTCTAAGTCCTCCTCACATGTATAAAACCTGCCTTGAACTTTGAAAACAGACCACAATATTGATTCAAATTTCTCTCTTGCACCTATCCTCTTTCCACCTTCCTCCCTAACTTTAGTGCAGTTGCACACAGACAAACAGAGAGTGAGCCCCACAGAATCTGTCTGCACCATTTTTACCTGATCCTCGACGGCCACTGGGGTCTATTTTGGTTGTGGTCTTTTGGCCATGCTGTGGCTTGGAGGACTTGTGCTCTGGGGTCGAGGCTGCACTTCCACTTCCACCTGAGGTCTGCTTGTGCTTTGCTGCAAACTCCAAGTCAGGGATGGCTTTCATCAGTTCAGCTTGGGTCTCTTCCAGGAGGCGGTTGATGTCTTTAGCACTGTATTGGGTCAAGGCGGCCCGTTTCTCCTCCCAGTCTCGCTCGGCAGCCTGTAAAGCAGAACTGGATAAACTATCATGGTGATTACTCTTGAGCAAGACCTTAGAGACAAAGAGGAGATGCTGAAGAAGGGGAAACAGAAAGGCTAATGAGGCTGATGGGGAAACACAACCTACAAACTATCTACAGACCCACTAAGAAAATCCAACAAATGCTATGTTCAGCAAAGGACAAGAGGGATCTTCTCACCTATGCAGGAGTCTACCGTACACCATGCAGCTGTGGACAAGTCTACATAGGGACCACCAAACACAGCATTGCTCAAACGTGAATCAAGGAACACGAAAGGCACTGCAGACTACTTCAACCAGAGAAGTCAGCCATAGCAGAGCACCCGAGGAACCAACCTGGACCTGTATTTGAGAACACAGAAGTGCTAGACCACACTAACAGCTACCCTGTCAGGCTACACAGAGAAGCCATTGAAATCCACAAGCATATGGACAATTTCAACAGAAAGGAAGAAACAATGAAAATTAACAAAATATGGCTACCAGTATTAAAAAAAACTCTAAAATCATAACAGTAAATCAAGGACAAAATTCAAACACAGGGGAACTCCAGACAGCTATCAGGGATAGCTAATCACCTCTCAACAAAGGATTCCCCCAGGCAGTAACAAGCCACACCTAAAAACTGTCAGGCCATCAAATGCTAATAAGGGGGCCAATAGAAACATTCACACCTAGCTACAACACACAAGAGTTCTTTCTCCCACCCTGGACATTATTCCACAGATATATAAACACAATTTTCCTAGTTTCCAACAGACCTCACAACCTCTGAGGATGTCTGTCATAGAAGCAGGCGAAAAGTCAGGAGAGAATGCTTCTAGAACATGGCCCGAAAAACCTACAACAATTCAGTGATTGCAGCCATGAAAGCCTTCGACAATACATTAAACAGAAAGTCTATCACTGTGTGAGGGATGTTATTCCTTTTAGGGAGTGAAAATGGCATATTTCGGTTCCCCTTTCTCCCCATCTTTAGCACATTTGAGGAGGAGGATCCACTCCAAGCCAAGATATGATGCAGTCTCTGTCTAGTGAGTTGGATCTTTTCCTTCACAGAACAATCTATATTCTATTACATTTGTGGCAGTGAAGTTTCTAGCACTGATCACCTGAGTGCTAATGGATGTTCACAGACCTTTCAGCTATTTAGAAAGTAATGCTGCTGGAAAGTGTGCAATGCAGCTTCTCTGAGATAAGTGAAAGCTGTCATTCTGGTTGAGATGATAACCTTGCAGAGATTCCAGGGACGGGGTTAGTTTTATAAGGTACTCTGAGAACTGGGAAGAGCTCTTAAAAGAAAAAAAAAGCATCCTTAAGGTCTATGTAGGTAAAACATTGATAAGATGCATGTGACAGGCTGTAACAGAACTGTGAGTAGAGAAAGACTTAAGTGCCATTATGGTACTTTTTCCATTCTAAATTGCACAACTTCCTTCAAAGTGGCTTGTCAAGAAACAAAATCTACTTTTGAAAACAATTGCAACCTGCTGAACAGAGATCAGAACCAAAGTACCTCTTTTCACTACAAGACTTTGTGTAATTTTGAGAGCATTTCTTAAGGAATGACATGGAGGCAGCACTTTCGTTTGCTATATTGTCCCGTTCGTCCTGCCACCGCTTCCCCTACTGTTCTCACTGAACTTTTTCCTTCAATGGAAGGTGACTGTTAATGGCTATTAGCAAGAGAAATACGTAGGGGTGAACTGGAGGGAGAGGCGGAGGAGCAGGAAGAGGGAGCCTGCAGCATTCGGTCTCAAAAGGCAGAAGCACACATGAAAAAGGAAGGTCAGTCTGTGCAGAAAAAGAAAGGAGGAGAAAATATGGATGTATGACAGATGAAGCAAGATGAAAGGAAAGGAGCGGAAGAAGAGAGCCATATGGAAAAAGATTAGAGGGAGGGAATCACACAAAGCTAGAATAGACAGAGCACACAGAAGATGGAAACAATAAAACACTGGCCAAGCAGAAAGACATATGGAGATATATATTCTTATATGTAAGAATACTGTGTCCAATTCTGGGCACCACAATTGAAGAGAGATGTTGACAAGATGGAATGTGTCCAGAGGAGGGTGACTAAAACGATCAAGTTCTTCCTTCCACCCTGGACATTCCACACTCCCTATGAGGAGTGGCTTAAAGAGCTGGGTATGTTTAGCCTGAAGAAGAGAAGGCTGAGAGGAGACATGATGAGGGCCATGTATAAATATGTGAGGGGAAGTCATAGGGAGGAGGGAGCAAGGTTGTTTTCTGCTGCCCTGGAGACAAGGACGCAGAATAATGGCTTCAAACTACAAGAAAGGAGATTCCATCTGAACATTAGGAAGAACTTCCTAACAGTGAGAGCTATTCAGCAGTGGAACTCTCTGCCCTGGAGTGTGGTGGAGGCTTCTTCTATGGAGGCTCCTTCTATGGAGGCTTTTAAACAGATGGCCATCTGTCGGGAATGCGATTTTCCTGCTTCTTGGCAGGGGGTTGGACTGGATGGCCCAAGAGACCTCTATGATTCTAAGACAGCAACAATAGGGAGAAAACTCTATTGGGACCCGCCTACCTGCGTGACCGTATTTCTGTGTACGAACCCAAGCGATCTCTTTGATCATACCTCGCAGGCGCGATTGGTGGGGATGAGGGAGAGGGCCTTCTCTATGGTGGCCTCCCGACTCTGGACTTCACTCCCCAAGGATATCAGACAAGCCCCCACATTGGCAGTCTTTAGGAGGAGCCTGAAAACGTGGCTGTTCCAGTGTGCCTTCCCTGAATAAATTAACAATCCCCTGCAAAATATCCTGAGTAGCACTTTAATTACCCGTTGGGTTGTTCTCCACTTTTGGTTTAAAACCCTCCTACTAGATACATCCTCTGTTCATGTCCAGCATCTATTTTTAAAGTTTTAACTATGACATTTGGCTTGGCCATAGGTTTTTTAATTCTTGTGTTTTATTGTCCATGTGTGAGTTATACTAATTGTATTGTTTATTTTGCTTATTGTTGTTGTTTTTATTGATGTGTTGTTGGGCTTGGCCTCATGTAAGCCGCTTTGAGTCCCTTGGGGAGATGGTGGTGGGGTATAAACAAAGTTTTATTATTATTATTATTATTATTATTATTATTAAAACAGGTGAAGATGAAGGGGAATTTGAAACAAGAGTGAGACAGACCGACATACAGAGAAATCATGGAGAATGAGTGATAATTGAGTTGGGGTAACAGAAGAGGTATTAAAAATAAAATCATAGTTGCAGATAGATATTATCCCATTTGGATTCCTCCCCCCACAAAATAGAAATGTGTTTTGCTGCTGCTGATTTGTTTAGTCACTTCCGACTCTTTGTGACTTCATGAAGCAGTCCACACCAGAGTTCCCTATCAGCCGTGGCCAACCCCAGCTCCTTCAAGGTCAAGCCAGTCACTTCAAGGATCTATCCACCTTGCTCTTGGTCGACCCCTCTTCATTTTTCCTTCAATTTTCCCCGGCATTATTCTCTTCTCCAAGCTTTCCTGTTTTCTCATTATGTGGCCAAGATACTTCATCTTTGCCTCTAATAGCCTTCCCTCCATTGAGCAGTCAGACATTATTTCCTGGAGCATGGACTGGTTTGATCTTCTTGCAGTCCAAGGCACTCTCAGAAATGTTTGGCTATCATAAAATTAAGCTGGATTTCACTTTAGTGTAAATTAATCCAAATACAGACAACTTGATGGGGATTAAAGTATTATATATTCAATTGGTAAACAATACAGGTATGTGAATGTGTTGTCCCCATTTCAACATCAGGTGTTTTAATAAGTGAAAATGCCTATAGGAATCTTTGTTTATTTCAGTATGCAATTAGATTGTGTTTATTTTTTTTAGAAATAAATATATTTAAATTGAGAAGTTAAGTGGCTTATCTATCGTCTTCCAGGTATAGATGCTTCTGCTGCTAACACTGCTGCTGCTAAAGAAGAATATGGAGGGCTGGAGGAGCATTAGGATTCATACCAATTCACTTCTGGCTTCAAAATGATAGGTCACATTATGGGTTTGGAGTAGCTGTAACCCTTCTATCCCAGAAGAGGAAAAACATAATAGAGAAGTGCAACCATTTCTTCCCATACCCAAAGCCAGCCAGTTTAGAAATCAGCTCCAGATTTAATGTGAACCATCACTTGAAGATAAGTGTTGTTCAGGGGTCAAGAACTGAACACTCGTCGAGGACTACAAAAGAATATGTTAGGTGCTTTGAATTATGAATGTGAACTGCTTCTTCTTCTTTTTCTTTCTTTTTTGCAGTTTTGTCTCTATTTCTGTTTTTTTTTTTTCCGGAATGCATACCAACAAATTAAAATAAATTCTGGAGGAAGAAGGGAAACATTTTTTGTGCCAGGAGCAACTTGAGAAACTGCAAGTCGCATCTGGTGTGAGAGAATTGGCTGTCTGCAAGGATGTTGCCCAGGGAATGCCCATATGTTTGATGTTTTACCATCCTTGTGGGAGGCTTTCCTCATGTCCTCGCATGGGGAGCTGGAACTGACAGAGGGAGCTCAACTGGCTCTCCCTGTATTTGAATTGCTGACCCAGTTTAATCCATTGCATTACAGGGGAAACTACAAGAATATGAATATCTACAGGGTGATGTTTCTCCCAGGGAGGCAGCACAATCATTATCTGGCAGAAAGGCAGGCTATTAAACTAATTAAAGAATTAATTAAATGTGTATTAAGCATAAATGGCTCTCACCTCTACAGACACGGATCTGTCCACGATCCTTTTGCTGGGGGTCTCACAGCCTGTCTGGGTTTTGACAGTGACCATCTCTGAGCCCCGGGATGGGTTGCTGCCCTTGGACATGTGGCTCTGCCCTTGACTTTGCCCATAGCCAGATGTGCCCAGGCTATCCGTGGAAGAGGTTAGGTCATGGAGGTTCATGGGGGGGCTGGTGGGCAATTCAAAATCCAAACTCTTGCTGAAGTCATTGTCTGGGTCCACCTTCTTTGGAGACTGAGTGAGGAGGTTGCTGGAGGAGTCCCAGATACCTTCATCAACTTGCCTGCCAAGAAAAGAGCACAAGAGAAATCAAGAACAAGAAGCCTATGGTTGTGGTGGCGGATTTTGAAAAGGCTGCCATTTCTGTTGCTATGTTTTGTTTTTTTCTAGCAAGAACCATTTTTAAATCTGCACATGCATGGTGTCAGTGAAGCCAAGAGAAGGCCTGGCTGTTGGGAAGAAGCAAATGGAATTGCAATGGCAATAGGAGGGATGATGGTGGTGGAGCCCTAAACACTGGGAAGGGTCCTCAGTAACAAGGAGTCAGGGCTCCAAAGAAACACCCCTAATGACATTGTCTAGAGGACGTTCTGCAGATACCTGGTGGACTTGCAATTTGTGAAACTGGCCAATGCTTGGAAAGGAACCATAGGCTCATAGAGTTGGAAGAGATCCCAAAAGCTATCCAGTCCAACCCACTGCCATGGAGGAAAATACCATCAGAGCACTTCTGACAGATGGCCATCCAGACTTCAAAGAAGGAGACTCCACTATACTCTAAGGCAGCATATTCCATTGCCAAACATCTCTTACCATCAAGGTATCCTTCCTAATGTTTCAGTGGAATCTCTTTTCCTGCAATTTGAATCCATTGCCAATCCACTTAATAGCCGCTCCGAGTCCCCGTTGGGGGAGATGGTGGCAGGGTATAAATAAAATTATTATTATTATTATTATTATTATTATTATTATTATTATTATTGTCTAGTTCACATTTTACTAGCTTCTTTGTGATACTATCACAACAGAACTTGTTAAAGGTCACACTGAAACCATCTAGGACAGTGGTTCTCAACCTGTGGGTCCCCAGGTGTTTGGCGAAAGGGAGAAACATGCCAAGAGGAAGGCACGTCAAGCCAACCTTGATTGGGACCGCCTTCCGTCCTCACTGCGGAAGTACATGCAGATCAAGAATAGGGCTCCACAGCCACCTATGGACCCACCGCCAAGACACCAATCATCTTCGCCTAAGTAAGTAAGGCCTACAATTCCAGTAATCCCAACCAGTTTACCAGATTTCTGGGAGTCGAAGGTCAAAACATATAAGGGCCCTTCCACACAACCCTATATCCCGGAATATAAAGGCAGAAAATCTCACAATATCTGCCTTGAACTGGGTTGTCTGAGTCCACGCTGCCATATATTCCAGTTCAAAGCAGATATTGTGGGATTTTCTGTCTTGATATTCTGGGATATAGGGCTGTGTGGAAGGGCCCTTAGTCTCACAGGTTGAGAACCACTGATCTAGGAACACTGCATATGGTGTTCTGTGTAATTCAGGTATACCTGTAGGGCATCTTAATGGGAAGTTGTGAGCATCCTTGTGGGGAGGAGACTAATAACCCAGGGCTTTCCTCTCACTCAAGAGGGGCTCACTCACTTGCGGACGTGCGTCAGGGTGTCGGTCACTGCCTTGCACCGCTTGAATAGGCCGTCCAGCCGGTGCGGCTCTTCCTTGAGGAACTTCACAGCCTCCACCTCCACACGGAGGACCACACGCATTTTGCTCTGCAGGCTGGGGAAATTAGCTGCAATGCCAGGGACGGGGAGAGAGGGAAGGGAGAAGCATGGGGGTCAGAGCAGGCCCAAGGAAGGCTTTCACCTGGGGGGGAAGAGGGGGGCATGGAGCCAAGAAGGGAAGCAGGCGGGCACGATGGTGAGGCTCAGGTGAGTGACAAGTGAGCCCTCCCCTGGCTGTTACTTGGTCCCAGAGGAGAAATGACATCTCACACTCTTCTGTAAAACACCCACCACAGCATCTCCCACCTCCCAAGAGCACAGCCAACCAGAAGCAAAGCATTTGTGTCTGCATTAATGGAGAGGGGGAGCCAAGCCAAGGTTGTGCTGCCCTCAAATGTTTGCATACATCTGTGATTTTTTTATTTACCATATTTATATACCGCCTTTCTCAGCCTGAAGGCGACTCAGAGCGGTTTATAGTCAGCACAATTCGATGCCCCCAACAACATAAAATACAATTTAAAACATTAGCATATAAAATATAAAACCATATGAAACAAGTAAAAACATAAATCCTCAGCATCTCCTTACTGAAATCATTGTCCGGTAAAGATTAGTTTCATGAGGGCTAGCAGCTTAAAGAATCATAAATGAATTTTGAAATTCCTCTGATTTATTATTTTTTAATAAGGTGTGATGAGGATTTGGGCAGTTAGTAGGAAAAAGGAGGGTGATACCAATACCAAGACCAGGGGTCCTCAAACTAAGGCCGGGGGCCAGATACGGCCCTCCAAGGTCATTTACCCGACCCTCGCTCAGGGTCAACCTATGTCTGAAATGACTTGAAAGCACACAACAACAACAATCCTATCTCATCAGCCAAAAGCAGGACCACACGTCCCACTGAAATACTAATATGTTTATATTTGTTAAAATTGTTCTTTGTTTTAATTATTGTACTGTTTTAAAGTGTTTTTTGCACTACAAATAAGGTGTGTGCAGTGTGCATATGAATTCATTCATGTTTTTTTTCAAATGATAATCCGGCCCTCCAACAGTTTGAGGGACTGTGACCTGGCCCTCTGTTCAAAAAGTTTGAGGACCCCTGACCAAGACCAATATGGCTTTTTCTCTGCTAACAACTACTGCAAATTTTCTCACACAAAACCTATCGCAGTCCATAGGCGCACAGGGACATGTGTAACACTTGTCCCGAGAAATTGCAATCAGATTCAGATTTGAAGCTATCAAGCCCAAGCCCATGTGGGACCTCAGGAAACTCTCCTTTATTGCTTTTGCGAAGGTTTGTCTTTTGCTTCTCTTTTTATTAAATGTCAAAACATGGCATATATTGACATGTACTGGGGAAATCTTAGACCCAGCAAGAAATGTCAGAAATCTTTGCATTGTAAATTTGCCTTTTCATTTCTGCATTCACTGCGTGTGTGAGAGGGGCGGAATGAGGCTGACATTTGGACATTTCTGAAATATCCCCCTTGGTCTTATCAAAACCCTTACACTTAAAGATAAATGCTAACATCTGCCATATTTTTTTGACATTTACCTTATTATATAGTACTTTCTATTCAGTATCATTGTGGTAGGCCTAGCTTTTTGAAACAACACAAAACCTCAGTCGTCTATATTTATGATATGTAAGCTTTGACTGTATGTACAATGTCAGTAGAGCTATTTTTGTCATCAATCTCTGCATCAACAGCTATTTATCTTTAAAATAAATATTTATTTGGAATATAAAAGAAACACCTGAGAAAGAAAAAGCACAATAGCAGGCATGTTTATTCCGTAGTCCAATAATTCTTACTCTATGGGAACTTTGCACAAGATTACAGTCATTTTATTTATTTCGTATCAAAAGCATTGCATAAATTAGTATAAAACTGATAAAAATAGAAGGTGTGCAGGCAGCTAAATATCTTTTGACCAAAAATGGGCAACAGCAACAGCATTGTCTGTAGCCTCCAACCGTTCTTCCTCTGTACATGAGGCAGGGCATAGTGGACAAGCATACAGATGTGGAGTTGTCTGTTCTGCTCCACAGTCACACAAGGTGTGGGATTCTTTTAGGTAGTGCTCTTTTGCCAGGTATTATAATCATAATATCTACAGTCATTGTCATATTATTATTACCATCTATTGGTGGAGACTCAGTTACTTTCATCGAAACAAAAATTAAAAGGGGGGAAACTTTTCAGAGCAGAAATGAAAAAATGGTGAGGATAAAATGTGCCACAAACACTTATTTTAAAAAATGCACAGTGATTCGTTTGTTTTATGACACACCAACTTTCATGTACAAAATCCACAAAGTAAAGATAAAGGTTTCCCCTGACATTAAGTCTTGTCATGTCCGACTCTGGGGAATGATGCTCATCTCCATTTCTAAGTCAAAGAGCTGGCGCTGTCCGTAGACACCTCCAAGGTCATGTGGCCAGCATGACTGCATGGAGTGCTGTTACCTTCCTGCAGAAGCAGTACCCATTGATCTACTCAAACTTGCATGTTTTCAAACTGTTAGGTTGGCAGAAGCTAGGCCTAACAGTGGGATTCTGGATCATCTCCCCAGATTTGAACCACTAATCTTTCAGTCAGCAAGTTCAGCAGCTCAGCTGTTTAACCCGCTGCACCACCAGGGGACCTAAAATCCATAAATGCAGCCTTAATCAGAATATGGCAAAAGATATGTGGAGTTTTGCCACTAAACTTGTGATATTCACCTAGTGGAGACATAGCGTAGTAGTGGGGCTCAGGTACAAACTGCATTTGCACGCCTACATATTTAGAAGTGGAAATTATATGAAAGCCTGCATTAAGCCACCTCCCACTCAAATATATTATTAATGTATGCCCTCCAACTGTTGGCAAGGACAGTCTTGATTAATCCTCTGTCATCCCATTTTTTCAGCTGCTTTTAAGTTGTCTCAATTTCTCTGTCTTCCTTCTGCTTTTCGCACTGCCTTTGTTGGAAACTGGGGGTGGATCTACACTGCCATATATTCCAGATCATCAAAGCAAATAATCTGGATTTTACATGGTAATGTAGATGAGGCCTGAGTTTCAGGTGTCAAAATAGTCTGCATTCAACACAACTGTATTCATTTGTTATTCATGACTGTTTTTAATATAATTTATTGTTTACCCCTTTGGGTACAATGAATAAAAACAATTGTTTAAAAACATAAATATGGCAAAAGATATGGGCCAAAGATATGGCACAGGGAGTGATCTCCAATCCAATGACAAGATAGTACAGAGAAATAAAGTAGGGTACAAGAGGAACTTGAGAGTGTAGGAGAAGGGAAAGACAAAAGCCCATCTACACGGAAGAAAGAGGTAAATAATAATAAAAAAGAACTGTCCCACTATGTCGCATGGAGTCCCCAGAATATGCTCCAACAGCAAAAAGCAGTGCAAAGCAGCACAGTGCAAGCAACATGCAGAGGGAATTCATGCACACACAAATCTATAAATATATTTATATGTGTGAATGTCTGTATCTGAAAGTTGCTTGGGGACCAGTGTTGCTATATTTTGACTAAACACATGAACACAAACTGTGCAAATTTTTTGGGACGTTAAACAGAAAACTGGGTTGTTGTAGGTTTTTCGGGCTATATGGCCATATTTTAGAAGCATTCTCTCCTGACATTTCACCTGCATCTATGGCAAGCAACCTCACAACCGCTGATGCTTGCCATAGATGCAGGAAAAATGTCAGGAGATAATGCTTCTGGAACATGGCCATATAGCCCAAAAAACCTACAACAACCCAGTGATTCCAGCCATGAAAGCTTTTGACAATACATTAAACAGAAAACTCTTATTTGGGGTGAAAGAGCTGTTCCATGCCTCTTTAACATCTACAACATATCGTATGTGTTTGTGTATGTGCCTTTGCTAGTCAATTTATGGGGTTTTTTTTGTCGTGTCAGGAGTGTCTTGTTGTGAGAGAATTGGCCGTCTCAAGGACGTTGCCCAGGGGACACCCGGATGATTTTTGATGTTTTATCATCCTTGTGGGAGGCTTCTCTCATGTCCCCGCATGAGGAGCTGGAGCTGATAGAGGGAGCTCATCCGCCTCTCCCCGGATTCGAACCTGCGACCTGTTGGTCCTTCAGTCCTGCCGGCACAGTGCATTAACCCACTGCGCCACTGCATCATACCCCAAGAATTCCACAGGATTTTCTAAAGCAAGGAAAACATAGAGGTGGTTTTGCCAGTTCCTTCCTCTGAAATATTACTTAGAATACCTGGTATTTGTTGTCAGGCTACCACCAAAGTACTAACCAGGACTGACCTTTATAAGCTTCCAAGATCAGATGAAATCTGGTACCTTTAGGCTATTTAGGCCTCCAATGCATAGTATATGGTAGGCTGATGTAAAGTTGTTTTAGTTGTTTGTTACTAAAAACAAAACTTGTGTTTTTAGTATGATTTTTGTCTTTGTGGGTAATTACTTGGATGGAAAAGAGGTTGACAGTTTTAGTAGTAACAGTAGTAGTAATAGTAGTAGTAGTAAAAATAGACTTGTCAGCGGTTGTTTTTTTGTTTTTTTTGTTTTTTTGCAATGCGCTATTACCACCACCTACTGGTTTCTATAGAAAAGGCTTAAAAATGGAAAGAAGGAAAAACAACACCCAACAAAATCCCACCAATTCCACTAAATTGCCAATTTCTAAAAAATGCCAAGGAACAGACTACAAAGTACAATTGAAATCACTCACATGAATTCCTTTTTCAGACAGGAAACAGATTTGTTTTCTCTCTCTCCCTTCCCTATAACCAGGTCAGGCTCAAGTAACATGAACTACAATATTGCCAAACCCACATTTGATCAATTTCTGCTTGTCCAAGGGCTCCTGTCCTTTTAAAGCCTGTCTAAAAAATCAACGTTGGGAGTTACTTGTACAGAAAGCTTATATGAAAAGATTACACAATTCCTGTTCCTTATTTCATCTGGCATACCTAAGTGATAAATAATTCAACCACCATCAACACAATCAAATAGTATAGGGAGAATGAGGTGAGCAAGAAAATAATTTCATGACTGGACAAATTCATGAAATTCCACAGTCAACGTGACTACTGGGAATTATCTAAAAATGAAATTTCCCTTGCTTTGGATTATTCATGTACACTGAGTTGAATGCCGGCCATATACTATGTAGTAACTTCTCAAACACTCCCTCGGTAATCTGCTCAACTATATTGTCTTGCTAAAATAGAAAGAGAAGGAGAACACTGCCTAATCTCTCTAGCAACCTCATCACAAAGGGCTAAATTTGGCAGCATGCAGCGGTTTAACCTAGGTCATCCATGCAGCCCGCCGGCTCCCATCGAACGATGTTGGCAGGGCTCTGTGAGTAAAGTGACAACACAGGAGGCTTCCCACGTTGCCACTGTAATCCATGGGAGAAGCTGTGTGACTGATGCTTCCCCTCATGGGATCACCCTTAACTGGAGTCAGGCGAAGCAAGGTCCTGGGTGTCCCCCCCCCCCCCAATGACATGGATCAATTCCTGGGGCCATGTGACAAGGTTACTAATTTCTGATCACACAGAAGTGTGATCACATCATCTTTATCACTCAGGAAGAAGAAGGTGAAGATAACCAAGTCATGACAATCTGCAATAATCTATTCATTTATTTGTTGATTTTATTTCATTCATATGCTGTCTTTCTCCAAAGACTGGAACCCAAGGCAGCTTCCAGAAATAGTAGAATAACCAGTCATTTGGAAATGGGTTATCTGAATTCTCAAAACACCTAACATTAATCTATCTACCTAAAAAACAAAATAGACAGAAGGAAAAACCAAGACATTTCACTTAAGTTGAATGTCAAGAGGCATATAGCAATTCATTGGATTCATTGTCATCTCATGTTGTGATGATTACTAGCATCAATGAAAAAAAGATAAAAGGGACAAACAATTGATACATTCATGGAGAATGAGTCTACTGACCACTACTTGCGTTATGGTGGCAGGACCGGACTTTTGAGTAGGATTCTAGGGCGTACTCAGCAGGAAGATCCCCAAATATGACAAGCAAGGCAAGGCTGACAACAAACAACAGGGAGCGTCTGCTTCCTAAATGTTGTCCTGCTTGTGAATATCTCAAGGCAGTTGGCCGGTCACTGTTGGAATGCTGAGTTTGGCAGACCTTTGATCTGAGTCAGGACTGTGATTCATGTGTCGTTCTGACTAATATCTTGGGAAGCCCACAATTTCCTGAGGCTTTTACAGACAGGCTAATAATAATCTGTATGACAAACACTGAAAAGTGTTAACTGAAAAATATTTCCCCCAAATGTTCAGCATCCCAGAGAAACCAGCCCAATTTTAATTGTTTTTCAAAAGGAAATATTCATCACACACAGTAAAATCAGCATTTCTACACATTTAAGAAACAGCTACTGATGGAGCCCTTCACACAATGCAAGCTTGTACTGTGATTTACAGGTACTTTGCCGTCTCTAAAATGTGGTTTTTCCGACTATTCCTAAATTGATTGGTAATCAACTTCATTTTAAATTCCCCACATAGAAATGGGTAAAAACATCAAATTTAACATGTGATAGGAATTCACCATTGCCCACTTGTAAATGTAATGATGATGCTGTTCTAGAGGGAGGAACCGAGATGGGCAGTCTAGATTCTTCTTCTGCCATAATATTTTTGGGAACAAGGAAGAAGGAATGGTAATTTATATCTTTTTGTTATCAATGTAAATTCAATAGTTGAATTTACATTGATAACAAAAAGATTGAGAGGTACTTATAAAGAGAAATTATAAAATAGAATAATTATTAAAAAAATAGAAGCAATCTTGTCTAATGATATTATGTTAAAAAGTACTTCCTCAAGAGGATTTTTTTTCAAGTAAAAGATATCAGGGGAGGCTACAGTAGGAGAAGAAATATGTCTCCCGTGTGACAGGAAGGCAAGCAGATAATTTGAAAAGAAAGCTAAATGAAGGAAAAGTTGTGATGGGGTAGGAAAATAATTTGTTTAATTTTCAAACAGGTTGCGAAGCTTAAGGGAAAAACTATGATCCCCAACACTTTGTTGGAGAATGCAAGGAATCAGTGTGTGTGTGAGTGTGCATCAACTGCAAAATGAGATGTATGAAGCTGATTGGTCAGGCAATGCCTAAGGAGCAGGCTGAGCCTGGGACTTATGGTTACTGTTACATTTTTGTTCAGGCTTGAGCTATGCAGGTGCAGAGAGAAAAGAAGAGAGAGGGCGAGAGATACAGTGTTTGGAGTGTGCTCTTGCTTCATGAGCTGCTGAAGGAGTTTATCCACAAGGATAAATAAATACCATTTTAAATCTCTCATAAAAGGGCATTATGTGAGTTGATGCAACTGATCACATTGTACATATGTAAGTGAGTAAACTACTTGTAATTTATTGTTCATCTGCATGGCATATTTTCTTTCTCTGGCAAGACAGTGTGTGGGTTGATCAAACGCAAACTGCACATGGTTTACATTACATTACACACTTTACATTACACCACACACTTTACTTATTGCATGGGATGAAGTCCAAATAGACTGTAAAAGTCCCTTCTATTATCAAGCTAAGATTTGGGCTTTGTGCTGAATACTCATTCTGGCATGGTGAAGGCACAAGGAAGACAGGAAGGAAGGGCATCTGGAACACATGAAGCAGGGGAAACACAGCATGGAATCACAGAATTGCAGCAGGAACAAATCAGAAGGCCAAACAAAAGAAAACCATTCATTCACTAGTACTCCACAAATAGATCAACTCATTTGATGGAAGTCCTGTACTTAGAACAGGAAAGCTGAATTCTGTAGACACAGTGCCTGCACAGTTCTGAAATTCATTTTTGAAATAAATCATTGAGGATAGAAACTTTCAATTTAATGTTTCACAAATTTAAATTGTTGTCTATGGGATAATTCAGGAAAAACCCTCTTCCAACCTCGTCAGAGTGATTGGAACAATTCTGACTTCCCATCCCTGCCCCACTCTCACCTTTCAGGTCTGTCAAGGTGTCTCCCACTTGCTTAAGCACCAGGGACTTCTCCTCCAGCTCTTGTGCAGAGATAAGTCGGTGATTGTGGGTCAAATCTTTCAGGATCCTTTCCACTGACTTCTCTAGGTCACTGGAAGCAAACAAAGACACCATCAAAAACAATTCAGAGAGAAGGAAATGAATGAGGCTTAGAGATTATCCTCTCTTCCTTCAAAGACAACAAGAGGAGAAGACAGAATAACCGTTACAAAATTATCCATCTTGTACTTAGATGGCTGCCGATTCCACGTTATTGATGTTAAGTTCCTTCTCTATCACATCTTTCTAAACAATTCAAAACACATTTTGCTACAGCAAGTTAGAGTGCTTGGTTGTATGGATGACATGGGTATAAATGAGTCAGAAAGAATGGCCAAAAGCAACCAAAAGAATTAACATAGCCTCTGCAGTGACTGCTCTCAGACTGTAGACATTAATCTGACTGAATGGTGGTTAGGCTGACCATGTCTGTTGCTCTTCTCAGCAAGTTTTTTTTTTATTTGAGAGGTTCTTAGGATTTATTTGGCTGCTAAAGAAGGAGCTTTAGCAAGTAGGTTATGCCCTTTTCTACCCATACGTTCCTAATTTGATTGCATGGGCATGTGCTGCTAGAGCCTCCTGCTAGCAACCCAAGTATGAGACACACATTATATTGGGATAACAAACGGCCACAACTTGTTTATTGCTTACATGGTCAGAATCATGGTCAGAATCACTGGGTTGTTGTAGGTTTATCGGGCTACAGTGTTCCCTCACTACTTTGTGATTCGCTTTTAGCACACTCGCTGCTTCGCAGGTTTTTAAAAATATAAATAAAAATATAAAATATTTACATCCAGTGGAGGCCAGGGACCCTGGAAGTGCAGTGACCTGAGATGCAGCGGGGAAGGCCTGCCTCCCTGGCCTGCTGCTGCTGGCTCCAGAGGCTCTTCAGGGGTCTACAGAGGCCAGAGAGGCAGGTAGGCGCCCTTGGGATGGGCTGGGAGGCAGGTAAGGAAGCGCAGGTAAGAAAATAATATATAAAATAATGTATAAATATTAAAATTAATATGGGTTTTCACTTATTGCAAGTGGTCGTGGAATGGAACCCCCGCAATAAGTAAGGGAGCACTCTATATGGCCATGTTCTAGAAACATTCTCTCCTGACGTTTCACCTGCATCTATGGCATGCATCCTCAGAGGTTGTGAGGTCTGTTGGAAATTAGGAATATTGGGGTATATATCTGTGGAATGTCCAAGGTGGGAGAAAGAACTCTTGTCTGTTGGAGATAGGAGTTAATGTTTCAATTGGCCACCTTGATTAGCATTTGATGGCCTGGCAGTTTTTAGGTATCGTTGTTAGTGTCTGGGGGAATCCTATGTTGAGAGGCGATTAGTTGTCCCTGATTGTTTCCTGTCTGGAGTTCCCCTGTGTTAGAGTGTTGTTTTACTGTTATAATTTTAGAGTTTTTAATACTGGAATTCAGATTTTGTTTATTTTCATGGTTTCCAACAGACCTCACAATCTCTTAGGATGCTTTCCATAGATGCAGGCAAAACGTCAGGAGAGAATGTTTCTAGAACGTGGCCATATAGCCCAAAAAAACTACAACCATCCATTTTCACACTGTAGCTTATCTTCTTTTTAGTTATATATGTTCCAAAACTTATTTGTAAGCTGCCCTGAATCCCAAGCAATGGCCAATGAATATTATGCGTACATGTAAACAGAGGATTAGACCGGAAAATTAAAAAAAATTCAAAAAAGTAACCATTCTATGGTCGTCTCTATGATGTAGAAAGAAATGACAATTACAAAAACAGAAACTGTGATAGTGATAACAATGGGTGATTTCACCCGCCCTCACATTGACTGGATAAGCATACATTTGTATCATTACAACGAGGCAACAGTATTAGATCCGATAAACTGTTGCAACTTAGAACAGTTAGCCATTGAACAGCCACAAAAAGAAGCTTTTCTTGAGTTAATCCTAAATTATAACCAGAAGCTGGCATGTGAGAAATTGCACAGAAAGTTTGACCCAGGCATGTTTAAATTTCAAAAGTGAGGATTTCTTTGAAAAATGAGGCGATTAGTTAGAAAGAAGCTGAAAGGAGCAACTAAGAAGGTCAAATCCCTTCAGCAAGGCTTGGAGGTAATTGAAAACTATTATAATACGGGCTCAAATAACACGTGTGCCATAAATTGGGGTAGAGAAGAAAGCATACTGAAGTTGAAAATCTTCTCAGGGTCATTAAAAAGCCAAGTTCGGGAAGTTACAAAAGTAAAATAACTTCTTGGCAATGAAATCCTAAGAAGCCTTACTGGATATATTTGCATAAAATGGTAAATCAGGATTCTAAGTAAGGGAGGGTGGTATGGCGGGTTAAACTGCTGAGCTGCTGAACTTGCTGACCAAAAGGTTGGCAGTTTGAATCCAGGGAGCGGGGTGAGCTCCTACTGTTAGGTCCAGCTTCTGCCAACCTAGCAGTTTGAAAACATGCCAATGTGAGTAGATCAATAAGGGAAGGTAACGGCGCTCTATGCAGTCATGCTGGCCACATGACCTTGGAGGTGCCTACGGACAACACTGGTTCTTCGGCTTAGAAATGAAGATGAGCACCACTCCCTAGAATTGGACACGACTAGACTTAATGTCAGGGGAAACCTTTACCTTATATGAGAAAATGCAGTGGGCGGGGATGCCAATACTTTGCCCCAAGACACTCTGGGGTCTGCATAGATGGCCAAGTTTAACCTCCCCAGTCCCCACAAGCAAACAAACAAATAAACTAGAGTTGGCTGTAAAAGTTAAACATGGAAAGGAAGTTACCAATCTGATAAGCAAATTGGCTAAACTGGAGAATGATATAACAAGGACTGATCAGAGGTGCAAAGGACATCCATCTCTGGGGCTACATGCAACCTTGTCTCTTCGAGATTCCTTTGAATACCCCTTTTTGGGGACAGAATAAAAGGGGAAGTGGAAGCATGAAAGGCACTCGCTCCCCTCTCTCATTTAGCCAAAAGGAGTCTTGTATTTTCTGCAGGTTGTCAACAGAATATATGTGCAAATGTTATGCTAAAATTATACCCTTCTGTTGGCTAAAATTAAGAGTTGCAATCGGAATATGAAAAGGTTAATCAATGAATCATACTAATTTTAGTTGATTGTGCTATTAATTACATTTGCATATGAGTAAGACACTACTTCAGAATCAAACAGTATAGGGTGTTTTATACATACATATAGCATAACTAGCATAATTACAAAAGTGTGAACAGATGATGGATGGATGTATGCGCATACATACATATTATTGAATATATCTCCTTCATGATTAATTGAGGGTCACACTTATCAGCTGATCAAGCTAATATTAATATCAGCAATTACCTGGGAATAATTCCCTTTGAGCTCACAGAGGCTAACTTCTGATTAGACCAGTTCAGGACTCCATTGTTATAAGTTACAATCAATTAATGTAGCAACAGGAGCCATGGTGTTGCTATGGGTTAAACCCTTGGGCTGGCTGAACTGCTGACCTGAAGGTCGGTGGTTCAAATCCGCGAGATGGGGTGAGCTCCTGTCTGTTAGCTCCAGCTTCTCAAGCAGGACATAGGAGAAGTCTCCTACAGGATGGTAACACATCTGAGTGTCCCCTGGGCAACGTCTCTGTAGACGGCCAATTCGCTCACACCAGAAGTGACTTGCAGTTTCTCAAGTCGCCTCTGACATGATAAAACAAATTAATGTGGCAAATTAAGTTAGCCCTACTGAAAAACTCAAATGCAGGAAATATAGTGAATTATCATGAACAACTCTCCCTTTTTATTTATTTCTCAATCAGTATGTAATGGGATCTCATATACCTTAGAGCAGGGGTACTCAAACTAAGGCCCAGGCCCCAGATGCGGCCCTCCAAGATCATTTACCCGGCCCTCGCTCAGGGTCAACCTCAGTCTGAAACACCTTGAAAGCACACAACAACAACAATCCTATCTCATCAGCCAAAAGCAGGCGCACACTTCCCATTGAAATACTAATAAATTTATATATTTTTAAATTGTTCTTCATTTTAATTATTGTATTGTTTTAAAGGTTTTTTGCACTACAAATAAGATATGTGCAGTGTGCATAGGAATTGATTCATGCTTTTTTTAAATTATAATCTGGCCCTCCAACAATTTGAGACACTGTGATCTGGCCCTCTGTTTAAAAAGTTTGAGGATCCCTGCCTTAGAGACTAACAAAGAGAATTAAGTTGGTAGCATAAGCTTTCATAGACTTAGTCTATTTTGTATTATGCTCAAAGTGAACTAGATCTATATAATTTATAATTACCAGCTGAGAAGAAATAGTATAGATGACAGCCCGTAGTACAGAACAATTTTAGGAAATTCTGAGACTTATGAGGCTGGTGCCATTCACAAATGTGAAAGTAACCCTGTTTTTTTGCAAAACTTTAACAAACAGCAAGAGTATGGAAGGAAGGACAATGACATGGTGGGATTTATCTATACATATGTATATATTTACTTACAATCATAAAATCAGAGTTGGAAGAGACCTCATGGGCCATCCTGTCCAACCCCCTGCCAAGCAGGACAATGGTGTTCAAAGCACCCCCAACAGATGGTCATCCAGCCTCTGTTTAAAAGCCTCCATAGAAGGAGCCTCCACCACACTTCGGGGTAGAGAGTTCCACTGCTGAACAGCTCTCACAGTCAGAAAGTTCTTCCTAATGTTCAGATGGAATCTCCTTTCCTGTAGTTTGAAGCCATTGCTCTGCGTCCTAGTCTCCAGGGCAGCAGAAAACAAGCTTGCTTCCTCCTCCCTATGACTTCCTCTCACATATTTATTAGGGCTGTGTAACCATGGAAAAATTTGTTTCTAAACTTGATTCGTTTTTAGGGGGTTTTTGCGTTTCATTTTTTAAAA